GATTCTTGACAACCAGGAGCGAGCACCTGCACTTCAAAGACAAGTCTAACCACATTGATACGCCTGGCCGAATGGAAGCCGTGTCTTCGATTTCTAAAGGCCCGTTTACACTTGCAATTTTTGCAGCGCGATTGTCGCGCGACAATCGCCACTTTGCTCTCGCGCACCTCAAATCGTACGTGTAAACAGCCCTGCGATTATTGTCGCGGCGATGCCGCTAAATTTCAAGAATGTTCGAAACTATAGGCGATTGCGCGCGACAATCGCGCTGCAAAATTTGCAAGTGTAAACGGGCCTTAAAGCCCCGTCTACACGAGCAATTTTTATGTGACAACTATATGTGACAATTTTTTTTCCGTGTGGGCAGGCAGCAAATAATTGTTGAAGACTCGCGCCAACTATGATTTTGCACAGCGGAGAAGTCAATAAATAAAACAAATTTAAATACTATAGCTTCGTAAGAGTACTAGAGATAATAAAACTTTAACAAATACGATATATTTTTAATCTTAACATGTTTCAGCATTACATTATGCCATTCTCAGAAGAATGGGGATGAGAATGAGCAATTAAAAATTGTCACATAAAAATTGTCCGTGCAGATGAGGCTTAATTCAGAGGTCTGAAGTTCAAGACTCAGAGGAGCTGACATTTCTTTAATTAGATTTCTTTCCTTGTCAAAAAATAAATAAATTCAACCAAATATAGATCAGGGAACCCGGTAACTGTAACTTAATGAGTAAATTAATAGAGAACAATGAGAATAAATTATAATTCTGAACACAAGTAACGAAGGCTCAAGTTTACAGGAAAGTGAGTGAGTGAGTGAGTGAGTGAGTGAGTGAGTGATTAAGTGAGTGACAGTCTCGTCCCACTCCAATAACTCTTCGATTGCTTCGCAATCTTCGAGTTAAAAATGGCGCCTATTGAAATTAGCTTGTGGCTAAGTTTAAAGTGCTACTCGGACGAAAATTGGGAAACATTAGAAAAGACTTCGAAATCAAATAGACCTATATATATATATGGGTCTAATAATCATGAAGCAACAGATTTTGATACACATCCTTAATAATTTGGGCAAAAAATGTTGGAGTAGATGACGTTATTTACTCCATCCTTTTGTTCTTCAATCTTTTGAATCAAAATTTCTCTGATGTGGGATAATTCCAAAACAAATATTTTCCAGCAACTGTTTTTAATAGATAAATGAGTCATATATTTGTATTGCTTGACGTTTTTAAAAAAGGGCATTTTCATGCAAGTAGCACTTTAAATACTCCAATTTCGAGTTCTGGTTTGCTCTGTGTTAGCCTCAAAACCAAGTAACATATTCTTTTGTTTCATTGATRGCTCGAAAAAAMGMATGGARTTTGTGAAGAAASACAATAAATTTGATTTGAAATCTCACACTTCTACGCTCACAATAAGGAATATTTTGCGCACAAATGAGGCTAACACAGAGCATTGGAGAATTCGAAACTGGAGTATTGCCAGTTTTGTTAAGCGAATTTTACAGTCTGTAAGTTAGTTAAACTAAATAAAAATAATCCTGTAAATACATTTAGATGCAACATGGTCGCGAGGAGATATGGATTTTATCTTCGAGTATTCCATGGATATCTCACGAGTGAGAGAAGTGAAGACAAGAAATAGGACATTTTTGTACGGAGTATCCATGGTAACATATTATTCTACACGTGAAAGATATCACTTTTTAGCGCTAGAGTTTTCCTGGTATTATGATAGTATTAATTATTTAGATTCTATTATATATTTTATTGTTACCACTATAACATTGTTGTTATAAAATTTTTGATATATAACGCGCGCTCTGATTGGCTGACGACCGAGTTTATATCAGAGGACAGAGACACGGCTTACCGGCAAAATTTGTTTTTCGCTCGAAAAACGCAGAAAAATTTTATAAAAGAACTATAAAACGGTCGCTTGTGTCTCTGTCCTCTGATATAAACACGGTGGGAGTTGAAAAGAATTCGAGAAGCAAGAGAAACACTCGCTAAGCTCGTGTTTCTAAGCTTGCTTCTCTCGTGTTTTTTTATATCAGAGGACGGAGATACAAGCGGCCGTTTTATATTTCTTAATTTTTACATATAACGAGAAATTCAATTCAATTCAGTATGGAGCTTTCTTGTCTCACTAGAATCGGACTACTTTAATTAATAGCCCAATGGAATTATTCTCGCTCGTTTTTAATTTCCTTTGTGTTCACATAAGTATCAAGTGTGATTTTCACAGTTTTTCCCTATTAAATCGATATCACAAACACGATGATAATCATCAGGAGTTTTGGAGAACAATGTGTCCGCCATCTTGAAAAGTGGGGACTCGAATCACTAAATTGGCTTTTACTTCGTTTACCGGAGCACAGATAACGTATTTCAATAGAAACAAAGGGTTACAACAACGGAGTAGAATCTAAACAATACCCCGAAATACAATGAAACCTAACCAGAATACAACAAATACCGTTACATGAAAAAAAAAAGCCACAAAATTGTAACTCCTAAAGGAATTAAAAGGTTCTAAAACCAATTTCAAGTAAAAATAATACGATGCAATGACAGATAAGCCTGACTTAGCAACTACGAAATGAGTTCTAAGGAACAACATACTAGTAGTGATTCGGGTCTCAGAAAATGGCAGCCTCCAGGCCCTCGCGGCCCACAAAGCATAATGGTGCAAACTGGGACTTTAACACTAACTGTTATATAGTATTCAATTTTCTTGAATCATTCCTAAGTCTTTCTTTGAGTTTTTTTGAAATGCCAGTATTACTCAATAAAAAGATGCGTGAAAAATAATAGTTTAGAGAGCTTTTGGCCCTTTTTCTACGACCGTCGAAAGACAAATGTCCGAAACAAAGTATAAGCACTTTTTCTGCTTGCGTAAGAAATGCTGTAGAGGCTATAGTGAAGTACAACTCATAAGCACTATTTCTATATATACTTAGAATTAATTGAAGAAAAAGCCACACAACTTTTAACTTGGTTTCCAATCTTTATTGAACGTTTCGGGCATTCGTACTTCTTCAGCAAACTGAGTGCTGTGCACGCGCCACTGCCACCAAAACAAACTAATAAGCCGAAAGCTCTCGGCTAAACTAAACCAGATAAATTGGTTCTTTTATACAATTTTGTGGAGAAAAATTCCAGTCTATTCTCAAATTAAGACATAGACATTTTATTCATTATTATTGATTCTCTTTATTCAGCTGATTAATTCAAAAAAGGGCTGTTCCGTTAATCATTTTGATTTCCGCTAACTGAAATCACTTCCGATGTCATCATTTCCGAGAAAAACGTCGTGAAAACTTTTTAAAAGATTTAATTTGAAGCAGGATTCGGATGGACGCGTCGGTCAGTTTTAAACATATCATTAAGGTTTACTGGGATGTTTTTTAACCGCATGTTCTTATGTGAAAAAAAGTCATAAACGGTTTCTTTTTAGAAATATCCCACGATCGATCATTGTTCTCAGTGGGTGGTTAATTTTTGAAGTCTTTTTAAGTTTTTTAGTGTCTTAAATTAAAAGACACTTTTTAGTATGAAAGTACGTTGTTTCGAAAATATATGGTTGAATTTAGTGGTAATGAACTAGTGTGAGCTGCGTCGGTGTTTCTAAAGAAACAGTTGTGTAAAAAGACCTTTACTCGGACGAAGGGTTAGCGTCCGAAACGTCAGTAAGTTGTTTCACCTATTTTTTACGGTGTTAAATTTATTTTACACAGCTGTTTCGAAAATATATGGATACATGTAAGTCATCCTCAATCTTGTCTGAAATAAACATTGTTTTTTTACATCTCAAACAAGAATAATTGGATGTACGCTTGACAAAATGTTGCCAGACTTTTCATTTATTCACCTATTTTTCGGTAGAACTAAAGTTTTTCCATTGTTAAGTAGAACTATTATGGCTTTATGGTTTGGAACAGATTTCCTTCTTTTGAATTGCAAACTCAAAACATTCTAAAGCTAGAATTTTCTGGGCGTTGTTGCTTTTGTGGCGGGAATCTTTCATTGTTGATAAGCGCGAATTCATAAACAAGACAGATCTGCGCGCATTTTTCAATTCTATCCTAATTAGGGTCGTGTTTTCAAAGATATAAACAAACTTTATGCCTCTTTTCACAAAAACTAACGAGGCAATAATAATTCGATTCATCGCTTCAGAGGTGACAACTCCAAAATTGAATCCGTAAACAAAGGAGGCTGAAACGCGAATCCCTTGCGAACGAACATTTATAGCTTCATTGTTCTCGCTATTGTCTCATTGTCGACAACAAATATTTAACGATAAACCGAACATGAGGTGGCCATTCGTCTCTTGTTAGTACAACGGCGAGAACTCGAGAAAACAGCAGCGAAAATGTCAGAAAACTACGAGTGCTTTTATCAAGGAGAGTTGTTCCCGCGCAGGCAAATCACGCCAAGCGGTTCCAGTGCCTCGCGGTGGGCAAATGATGTCAATTTCCAGGCAGTGGACGAACTTGCGAGGAATCTTCATAACAGCGAGATTAATTTATCAGTTATGGMAGGCTCCAAGAGTGGCATCAAAGTCGAATTACAAAACGAGAATTTGTGGCGTGTCTTCCGAGAGCAAGAAACTGAGATGATTATAACTCGTGCTGGGAGGTAAGACAAAATTCTATAAATAATCACTAAATCTGTACTCGAGTCAAATTACTGTGAAGTTTTCCACCTAAAATGCGGACGAATGTTTATCGTAAGCGCCTTTAACTCGCAGCTTTAGTATTTCACAAGCTTTGGCAGCGTATTTTACAGCTTTTGAAATTGAATTTAGCAACTTTTATGAAGATATTTTGACAAGTTCAGTGCGTTTCAATGACAAATTTCTTTCGCGTCAAAGATACAACATGGTTTTGACTAAACTCAAAATTTTGCTATGGATATTATTGGTGTGTTAGTTGAACTCTTTAGGCTTTCTTTATATCTTTCTGAAGTCTGACCTATGAAAAGTTTCAGACTGAAGGTGACACAAATGTTCAGATTTGCAACTCTAATTACTAATTATGAGGGCATATGAGCGTAGGAAAGTCCTTTCGTTGTTGTTAAGATCGATGCGTTCTCCACTAGAGCTAGCAATACTTTCAAACTATAACATTTAAGAATTTCTTGAAATCTTTGCTTTGGAGTGATTTTTTTATGAATTGTTTATTAATAGCTGTTTAATTCCAATTGTTGTTGTTGAAGTTTTTATGAAATGAATAATTTTCGAATCGAGCTAGCAGTTTTTGCTGACCCGTGCGTGAAAAAATATATATTATACAATTGCAGCACCAAACATTCCGAGTAAACTTTCTTGTTGTTGAAACATAAAGAAGTAGTTGAACAGGAATAGCACTTGTTAATGTTTAACTCGATCAGTAGAGATACTCGATCTGAATTATCTTGTAGAGCGGGATTTTGAAATCAAAGAGCTCCTTATTTTGGTCTTCGCACGGCTACAGTGTTTTAACTTTTGCATGCTTTACTTGAATACTAGACTTTCTTTTTTCCCTTTCTTGTCATTTTATTTCTTTACATACCAATTCTACGCATCGTTTTTTCGTTTTATTATTCCAATCCTTTCTGTAGGCAGCGACGCCATCTTGTATGCAAAGCATTATGGGGGTTGTAGTAATAGTCCCCTTAGTTCCCTGCGCCATCTTGAAAAGGTCGAAGCGAGAGGCTATTGAGCGTGCAATGATAGATACTTAGTACCTGTAGGTGTTTTCTGTCACTGTACTCTCAACGGTCGTCTCACTTCGATTCAAAGGCACCGCTATATTTCAAGATGGCGCAGGGAAGCGAAGAGGAGCCTATTGCATTTTTTTGATTCGTTAAAGCAGTCTTCGTTTGAGTGAGATTTTTTTGCTTTTTCTTTGCATAAATAGAAGTAGATGTTTCGTAAAAACGGCTTTAATAAGCGCTAAGACTGCAATTATCCATCGTTCTTTGTTGTTCAAAATGGCTTCGTTGCACCTTGACTTCTTGTCTTCTTTCCAACAGACGGATGTTCCCAATCCTTGATTTCAGCATAACTGGCCTTGAATCGAATGCATACTACAGTTGCATGATCCAGATTATCTCAGCCGACAACCAACGCTACCGTTTTGACGTTAATAATGAGAAATGGTTGGTGACAGGCGAAGCGTCGAAGCCTGAAATCGTAAACAATGATTACATGCATCCACATGGATCGGCTCTGGGCAAAGTTAGTACCAACTTTTGACTTATTTTATCATGCGCGCTCATAGCTTTATCAAGACCTGCTTACACAAGAAGTTTTTTCGTGTGACATAGGCTGCGTTTTAGCAACGATTTTCTCTAAAGTGAATCACGCGTGTAAAGAAAAACAGCTTGCAACTTCACGGTTAAAGCTCGAAGGTTCATTGCAGCAAACGTTCTTGATATTTCAGTGCAAATCGCTACGATTTTCACCTAAAAATTGTCTGCAAAATCACCATGAAGTTTCGGTCTGTTTCATAACACGGGCGCAGCAAAATCGCCACAGCCCATATGCGAGAAAATTGCTAGTTTAAAGGGACTCTGTCAATGGATGACATGCGCAGTAACAGTCTCACCTCTAACGGACTTTGAAAGTATAACCTTCGAGGTAAATCATTTTGTGGTGCTTTTGACACACTTTGGAATATTCTAGATCTGTTTACGTTTACGATCTGATTTATGTCGCGCCAACTTGGAGTCATAAACTTGAAAACACTAGCCTAGTGTTTTCAAGTTTACTCGCGCATGTCATATATTGACAGTGTTCCCTTTAAACAGGCATTTAATCAGGGTTAGTTTTCAAGCATTCCATCTTTTTAAAAAACATGTTTCTTTCTTGCGTTCTTAGGTACCCTCTAACTTCCCAACATGCTTTCTTTGACCGATAGTAAGCATGGCAATTCGGACTCGTTATATCTTTTCTTTGCTCGTTTTATTTACTTACATAATTGTTATTTTATGATAGATCTGGATGAAAGAAGGTGCCAGGTTTGACAAGGTTAAGCTCTCAAACCACCACAAGCAGTTTTCTGATTTCGTAAGTACGATTTACTAGTGGGAAATAAATGTTAACTTCTCTAACCATATTTTTTAGAGGAATGTGTTTTTGTGTTTCGCCATACGTGTTCCATATTTGGCGGGATTCCTTTGTCGGATTGTGAGATTCGTGGTCAGCGTGTTGCGTTTTTATTTAAAAAAACACGTTATATACCGCAATGCATTGTAGGATATGTTTGAGACAAAACATGGCGGATTTCCTTTTGAGTTTTCTCGAGAAACAGATTCCACAATGGTCCACAATGCTTTGCAATTCAAGTAGGTGACGTAAAAGCTTCAGAAGTCTATTTTGTGCTATTTTTGTCAACAAATACTCCGATTTCGAGGGCTGGTTTGCTCTGTGTTAGCCTCAAAACCAAGAAACATATTCTTTTGTTTCATTGATGGCTCGAGAAAACGCATGGAATTTGAAAAGATAGACAATAAAATTGATTTAAAATATCACACTTTTATTTTCACAATTAGGAATATTTTGCGCACAAATGAGGCTAACACAGAGCATGGGAGAATTCGAAACTGGATTATTGACGAGTTTTACCGATGGCGGGATTGTACTAACACAAATTATAATCAATGTGCAGCGACGCCATTTCGTGTAAAAAGGCATGGTGGGATATACTTTTAATTCAATGTGTGCAAATAATCGTTTCAAATCTTTTTTATTTTCCCAGATAATCCTTACGTCTCTGCAGAAGTACAGAGCCCAGTTGGTTATGACAAAGATTGGTGTTCCACAGTGCGAGCGATGGATCTTTGACTTTCCAGAGACAGCCTTCATTGCCGTCACGTGTTACCAGAACCCGAGTATTACGAAGCTCAAGATCGACTACAACCCCTTTGCAAAGGCGTTCAGGCAAGGAAAAAGGTAAGAAATGTTTATGAAACGATATGGAAATGTATGATTGAAAGCAGTGGTGCCATGACATGATTTTGTGTCTAAATTAATGCACAATAGTCCAAAAATATTCGCTTAACTTAACTGCAAAGAATTCAAGACTGGGCTTTGTGGAACATGGATAATTCTTTTGTTAGTATCCGGAAGACTCGCCGTCATTTTTTTTATACATGACTATTCAACAAGAATATCGAAAATTGGCTATTGCAAATTCAGTCAACTCTCATTTTAACGGGCACTTTTGGGACAGGAATTAAGTGTCCGAAATAGCGAGTGTCCGCTGTAAAAGGAGTTGCTCATAGTATCTGCAGTAATTATGGTGTGTCCGTAATACTGAGGTGCTCGCAAGACACCGTATTTATCATATAATTCCGTCCACAAAAAACAAAACGTATTTTTTGGTACTAGTGTCTCGAGGAATTGAAGATACATAAACAATTTCTCGAACTTAATGATTTACTGAACAATCCAAGCGTCTTAGTGCCCCTTAAGTCGTCCCAGTTCCAAACGCATTTCTTAATTGACTAATTGAATATTCTAAATTTATAGTAATATATTGACATTTATGTGCTTTGTTATCTTTCCAGACCAGCAAAGCGGCCCGAATCTGTGAAACCAAAGGTGGCAAGCTCTTCTCAGAGATCCAAACGTCCTCGTATTCATCTCTCGTCACCACCCCCAGTGACACGACTTCAGCCCCCTCCCCTGGGGCACTTTCCTGAGGAGGCTCCAAGAAGGGCATCGTCGCCCCCACCCCCTCCACCCCCGCTGAATTTGTACTCATGTCAATCACTGCCTACACGGGATATGCTGCAGGAAGAAATGGCAATGCAAAGGTATGTTGAATAGATTCGTTTATAATTTGCTCATTTACTTCGTGGTTTCATTTCTGTTTGCAGCTATTTTAGAAAACACTAGATAAGCCTTTTCCCATTTAAGGCGAGCGACCGCTGTTTTAGTTGATAACAGTCTCTCATGCGCAGAGATCATATTTAAAACAAAAGAAAGCACGTGCGTTCTTTTGTTCTCTATGCAAGTGAGTGTGTTGTGTATTAAAACAGCGGTCACTCGCATTAGACGGGGAAAAGGCTTACATCCAAACGGTAGAGTGTATTCCAAGATCGAAATGCATTGTTGGGGGTCATTCTATAGCCGTTCAAAAGCCGGGAGATTTCGTGCTTTTAGAGTCATATACAATGTGTACTGTCAAGAACGTCATTGGAAAGCAATTAATTAAAGTTAAGAATTGTCATTTGGTAACGCGTCTGACGTGGAGTTGATCAGCAATGCATTGTGTCTTAGACTCTTGCACACTCTACTGCTCGGCTCAGTTTTGGTCGCGTCGAGCAGGAGACTGTGAAAGAGCCCATCGTGATTTTGGAATGCACTTTGCAGTATCAAGTATTCAACTTTTTCTGAAATAGCTGTTAAATGTTAACTTTTGTTTTATATACTGCAAGAATTGTAATCACAGTGTACAGTTGTGAAATAAGAAGAATAGTCTCCTTCACGGTTACCTGCTCCATCTTGAAAGGTAGCCGTGCCTTGTCATCGAAGCGAGACAACCGTTGAGCGTGCAATGATAGAAACCTTCTTTCACACCTATAGAAAATTATTCACAGGTTTCTATCATTTCACGCTCAACGGTTGTCTGGCTTCGGTGCAAAGGCACGGCTACCTTTCAAGATGGCGCACGTAACCGTGAAGGAGACTATTACCACTGTTTTAAAAGTGCGAGAAGTAGCTTAGAGAGTACTAGTAGTTTCGGACGTTAGTCTTTCGTTGAAGTAAAAATATGAAACTGTGCAAAGTTAAATAGAAACTATCACTAGCAAAGGTACATTCTTTGACTCCGAGTAAAGACTAACTTCTGAAACGTCAGTAAGTTACTTTTCGTATTCATACCTTTTTACAGTGTATAATTTAAATTATCTTGATTCAAACACTGTTTCTTTAAAAAAACGACACAGCTGACAAGCGTATGTTTTATTTTTATGATTTGCTTACATCAATTGATGATAAAATTAAGCGATAAAAAACTGTTTTTTAGAAAAAAACATTTTAATGCACGACGTTTCGACGTTAACATAACTTCATTTTCAAGTAAAGGGGAATGGAAATTACAAAATGCTCATATATACAATTAAGAATATAAAGGAAAATACAGCTGTTTGCAATAATTCTGACCCCCCTACACTAATATTCATATATATCAAAATAGCCTTAGAAATTATGGGATACCAATGCTGATATTTTTTTTAGAAAGTACTCATTCTGGACAACTCAAAAAATATATCAGTCATGATATCCCATAATATTAAAGGTCAGTTTGATATATATGAAATRTGGCAGAGGGGGTCAGAATTATTGCAAACAGCTGTATGTACAATGAAATATAATAAAAAGAATTTGTAACAATGTAAAGTAAGAAAATACAAGTAAACAATAATACGAAATATAAAGATAAAATTGAATAAAAAGTTTGGCGTTTATAGAGTCACTTTGTACGTTTAGTGATGGTTTAAGCTTTCTAATGTACAACATTTCATATTTTTTTCAGTGGAAGGTGCATTCCTCTTGTCAACGATCCAATCCTATGGGAACAATCACATCCAATGACGTCACATAGAACATGTCTTCCACCAATCAGCACGAGCTTCCGGTTAGATCACGCACCTCAGCCTCCATTGTTCTTCAAACCTGATCCTCAGAGCTACTGCCCCGGATGGCATCCCGACTTCCAGTACCAGGACCACTTCAGCAATCACTGTGGCAACGGTCACTTTGGTAACGGCTGGATGACAGGAGGCGGATTTGGAGGGCTTTTTGATGAAGTCCAGTTACGTCACCATGGTTATGATAGCAGACTTCCTTAGCAACGCGAGAAGAACGGTTTCTAAGGACCTGTCTAGTCGACAAGACAATTGCAAGGGTACGATTGAAAAAAAAAAACATTCTACACAATCCGTTTTAAAGGGCCTTGTGCATACGAGAAGCTTTGCGGCATCTTTGATTTTGAACCAACTAAACAGAAAACAACTTTAAACAACAGATCGTTTTTAAAACAAAGGAAACGATCGGAAAGGGTCTCGGATGCACATGAGTCTAAAAAGTCGTTTTTCAATAATTCAACAGTTTCGTGAGCTTACTTACACTTTAAGTTGGGGTGTACATGGTTCACATTGACTTAAACGTTTACAAGGACGCTTATATGTGGACTTATGGACCTGAGATGCAAAACTAGTTAACATTTGAACAAAACTAATTATCAATTTAGGTATAAAATTCAAACGCGGAATGGACCCGAGAATTTTCATTTTAGCATCCAATGGATTGCAAAACTAGTTAACATTTATCAGAAGTACTTCTGCATTTATATTTAACTAATTATCAATTTGTGTACAACATTTCAACGTGGATTGGGCCTGAGAACTTTCATTTTAACATCCAATGGATTGCAAAACTAGTTAACATTTATATAAAACTAATTATCAATTTGCGTACAAAATTTAAACTCAGAAGAACTGTTTTTCAGTCAGGTCCTTCCAGGAAATAATGGACGCGTTTTCTTATTAATTTCGCGTAAATTATATATCATCGTTATGGTTGACTTATTCTGTGTGCAAAATTATTGTGCCTTTCGTGCATGATAGTCTTCTCCAACACATGGATTCCATAGTTATTTTACAGTTTATTATAAGAATTATACTGAAAGTGCGTCTGTATTACGATGAACAATGCCCTATATCTGAGTAGTTTACAAGACCGTGAAACACTTTTTAGAGTGTAGTCAATAAATCCGTGAAAACAAATCTTGTTTATTTAAGTGTGTTAGTCAAATAGACACACACAAAAAAAGCAATTATATTTTGTACACCTTAATACGCTCTAATTCCATTGTTTTCTAATTTGTGTCTATTTGACTGTCACAATTTAACAGTCAAGTTTTGTTTCACGGGTTTATTGACTTCACTCTATATGGAAAAAATGCTGATTATCGACAACTTAAATTGTTGAGATCTAAAATTGTATTATTATTACTATTTAATTGGTTTAAATAATAAAATAAAGTATATTGACTTCATTTAATTGTGTCATTTACTTCTCTACCCCCACCCCTCTCGTCTAAATTGTCAAAAGGCTTGGTTACCTTTTAAACAAGATGGCGGACGAGGCTGGTTTATTTACACTCAAAACTTTGCAAACATCTTTTAGAACTTGAATGTGAATGTAGTTTAGTTTCGCTATGGCTTTGTTTATTGTGTCTTCTATGTGCAAGAACTCTGCAAGGCTTGCTACAAGAGCTGTGTTTCTGAATTCAGGTGGTTTTGCTACAAGAGCTTCGTAAGTTGAGCATATTTTTTGACCCCGGCTATAAAAATGCTAAACAAGGTTCTACATTAAAACAAAAATATGCTTAAATTGTTTTGGTTGTCCTTAAGGTCCTTCAAGCCATTAACTTCAACTATAACAAGCTTCACAAGAAGGATATCGAAAATAGACAAGTCATTTCTATACCAAAAGCTCCAAGAAAAAAGTTCTATCATATTAACGCTCGGATCAATATGTGCAGTAGCTGCAGCAGCCAAAACAAAGGGCATCTTCTCAATTGCTCATTGTGGCCTTAAACTCAGTCACAAAAATGTCTCTCTCTCAAAGAAGAAGCCTAACACAGAGGAGCAACCAAAGGCACCACCAAAATTCAACTTTACAGAGTTTTTCAAGCTTCTACTTCCAGACATATGGCTCTTGCTACTAGCAAGCTTGAGTGCCTTTGCTGTTGCCATGACAAATATCCAGTTACCATTGTTGCTAGGCAACCTTGTCAATGTAGTTTCAAATTTAGCCTCTGAGGACCATACTGGTGACTATTTTGAGGTGTTACGGAAGCCGGTTGTGAAGTTAGTTGGACTGTATGTTGCACAATCAGGCTTAACATTTGTGTATATATCAGTATTGTCATGTCTAGGGGAACGTTTGGCAGAGAGAATGAGGACAGCATTGTTCTCGTCACTAATACGACAAGATATTGCTTTCTTTGATGGACACAAGACGGGAGAATTGATCAATAGGTAGGACACTTTTAAAATTGTCATTCATGTAAATAATACCATTAAATATATCAATCATCATTGTTTTTACATTTGGATGTTTTGTTTTGAGCTGAGGCCCTCATTCAACAAATTTTCCTCCACTCTCATTGGTTTATCTACTATGTGACTTTTTTTACTGAATTTCAACCGTTCTCTGAAGTTCCGAATAATCGTATATATACGCTTATTTATTTTGGCAAAATATTCCACTCTATACGGCCTTATTTGGGACTGTACRATTATTAATTTTCACAATTTTTTTCTCTGTGCCTACCTTAATTAGTTATTAACAATATCGTGAGAAAAAAAATTGAAAAAAGTTGCCAAAAAGACAGACTTTTTGTCTCTAAAACGAAAACAAAACCGCGAACGAACAGCAAACTAAGAGCACAAATCATCTGGTCAGCGGATTTGATCACAGGGGAAACTGGGGAGAAGTCAGCGGTTTTGCCAAAAAAATGCGGGAAAACTGCCAGTACTGCCGTTTTTTCCACCCTATACTATTATTCBRATCTATACTATTATTGGTAAATTTGTATTTTTCCACTCTATACTATTATTATGCTCTATATGATTATTCGGAACTTCAGAGTAGGTTGTCTAGATGTGAGACCAAAAAAATAAACAAACAACAGCAAACAGCTGCAGTTTCTCATTAATATAATAGGGGCCAGTTGTTTATTTTTAATTCCCTACAATAGATCTGTCATTTAAAGATACAACGTAGCTATCATAAATTAAAGTTCTGTATTTTCTAGGCTTACTGCTGACATACAAGACTTCAAAAGTTCTTTCAAACAATGCATCTCACAAGGGCTCAAAAGCTCTACACAAGTCATAGGTTGTGTATGTACAATGTACTACATGTCACCAAAGCTGACAGGTCTAATGGTTGTAATCATCCCTTCAGTAGTTGTTTTTGGGACACTTTTTGGTTCATTACTACGTAAGTTGTCGAGAAAAGCTCAAGAGCAGGTTGCCAAGGCAACAGCTGTTGCAGATGAAGCATTAGGAAATGTGCGCACAGTTAGAGCATTTGCAATGGAAGAGAAAGAATCTCTGTAAGTTAATCAATTTGCTTGTTTTTCTTGTTCCCAGTAATGAATGTAGACAAATGTGTGCAGTCTGACAAAGTTATTTTTTTACTATTAAAATAGTTAGTTATTATTAAGTCTGCGATTAAAACCTTTTTGAAACATAGAATCATTATTATGTATAGTTTACCACATGAGGGGCCGTGAGACATGAATGTTGTAAACAAATTATGAAACACCAACATTAATTAACATTAATTACAGTTATATAAATGATGAATAATGACAAACAAGGTAACTGAGCTGTCAGTTTAGTTGCTATAATTAAGCATGTGCAATTTACTGCAACAGAGAACATTTTGAATAATTATCTATCCCACATGGAAAGCAAGCCATCTGTTGGATAAAGCAATGCGGCTATTTGTCTTTCATTGGTTCAAAACAAGTGAAGGTCACTATGATACTTTATTTTAATATTGAGAAGACCGTTGCTAGTGTTGGGTTATCTCAATGGCGATGACCGTGTTGTAAATCTGATACAGCACTAGTGTTGTATCAGATTTATAAGGTCAATCACCTGATTCAATGGACAGCCCTTATTGGAGTAATACTTCATGCATTATTAATGAGTTTTATAATCTCAGTTATGGTATTTTTACAGGTTATACTCTCAGGAAGTTGGCAAGTCCAAGAGCCTAAATGAATTGCTGGGATTCGGTATTGGAGCTTTTCAAGCTGGTGCTAATCTTACTATAAATGGACTAGTCCTTGTCGTGTTGTATGCTGGTGGGTCCATGCTGGCCATGAGGGAACTACAACCAGGAGATTTAATGAGCTTTTTAGTTGCAACACAGACAATACAAAGGTATAGAAGGAAGAAAAGAGAAAAAATGTGAAAAGGAATGAATTGATGAAAGAAATGGATCAATAGACCAAATTGGCTGACACGTTGCCATGTACATTGTCACCCAATTCAAATCCTGTGAGAAAAAGAACTTTTCAACTGTAAAATGAATATACAACGAACAATGAAACCTACTCCCGGGTGGTTTGAATTGGGTGGAAACGTTAAATAGCAACGCATTAGCCGAAAAGTTTGTGACTAGTCATCAGTCCATTTTGGATTTTGGATTTGATGGCTCACACACAAAAGAATGAAGAGTGTGCATAAAGACTCAGTCATTTGTAAAAAGACAATAGTTTTTTCTTGATTTATTGCTTTTTGCATGACTGAACTCGTCTTGATACTTTTGTATTTGACTACTGATTTAAAGGGACACTGTCAATGGATGACATGCGCAGTAACAGTCTTGCCTCTGACGGACTTTGAAAGTATTACCTTCGAGGTAAATCAATGTTTTGACACACTTTGGAATATTCTAGATCTGTTTACGTTTACGAGTACTTTTTTGTCATGCGTCGCGCCAACTTGGAGTCGTAAACTTGAAAACACTAGCCTAATGTTTTCAAGTTTACTCGCGCATGTCATCCATTGACAGTGTCCCTTTAATGCAATATTTTATATTAGTTATTTTAATAAAATACACAAAGTTTACAAGAAATTAAGATTAATTTTCAGCTTTATACTGTAATATGCTTCCTCCAGGTCCTTAGGAACCATCTCAGTGCTATTTGGCCAGGTAATTCGTGGTATGAGTGCTGGAGCTCGAGTATTTGAGTACCTGTCAATCAAACCGACAATCCCTGTCACTGGAGGAAAGCAATTTCCACTACAAGACATCAGTGGTCAAGTAGACTTTGAAGACATCACATTCTCCTACCCTACAAGACCAGGGCATAACGTTCTGAAGCACTTCTCGCTGTCTATAGAGGCTGGTAAGATGGTAGCACTATGTGGACCTAGTGGGTCTGGAAAGTCTACAGTGGCAGCCTTACTGGAACGCTTCTATGAGGTTGCTAGTGGAAGGATACTTTTAGATGGACATGATTTGAAAGACTTGGATCCCACATGGATGAGAGGATTAGTTATTGGATATATACATCAGGTAATATTGATTATTATTTATAATATCATATACATGTATATAATAATAATATTTATAAATCATTATAATTCACAAGCTACACTGTTTGGTGTCTAGGGGTTTTATTTTCCACTAAATATTAGTTGAAAAGACATGAAAAATATTCCAGAGAAGTTTTTTTTTTCAGTACCACTTTATAATTCCCAGGACATCGCATAATTTTGAAATTGAACATGGTAACTGTATTTATTATATTAATAAGATATAATATTGAAACATCTTTATTTCTTGTTCGCAGGAACCTATTCTGTTTGCCACTTCAATAATGGAGAATATTAGATATGGGAAGCCCAATGCTACTGACGACGAGGTGCATATAACTACTAATATATTTGATCTTAAGTTTGTAATATCAGATGCGGAGCAAGAGCAGATCCAGGTAGAGGGTTGGGGGTCAACCACTCCCCTCCCCTTTCTTAAATCTAACTTCAATTTATTTTTGTTAATGTGTATATCCTAGAATTAAGATAAAAGTACTTTTTTACTGAGAAAAAAAAATTAAATAAAATACAAAATTGGGCTTCCTGTGTGTGCGCACGTGTTTTTTTTTTCTTACTTCTAAAAAACCCCTCAATCTGACGCTGTGGAAAAATGTATTGAACCTGTTTGCAGGTACATTAATTTATCTATTTTTTTTAGCTATGCCTTTATCTCTTATTTCATTTTTCCAGATTTATGAGGCAGCAAGACTTTCCAATGCCGATGGTTTCATCAGACAGTTTCCACAGGTTTGGCCTTTTTTTCACGTCATCAAGCTATTGAATTTCCATCATAAGTTTTTACTGTCAAATGTTCCTTTTTACAACGGTTATTTTTTTGGCCCTAGACACACCCTAACGTGCGCACCTTTTAAGCCCGTTTACACTGGCGATGTTTGTGGTCATTTTGATCCTAAAAAACGAATAAACATAGCCACACAACGTTGTACTGGGGGTCGGGGGGTACGATATTCTAACAGATGGTTGTCGTGTTGTCAAATTTTAATTTTGTAACGGCTACATATTGCAGTGTCCCACGTAAAATCTCTAGGATTGTAGTGATTTTTCAGTCCAATCAAGTCTCTTTCTATAGGGCTATGACACCGTGCTTGGAGAACGAGGAGTTACTGTATCTGGCGGTCAGCGGCAACGGTAGGAAATATTTCTCAATTACTTCAATTGCTCATTTTTTTCATTGATTTGTTTATTCTGTCCCATTAGGATCGCTATAGCGAGAGCATTATTGAAGAATCCAGCAATCCTTATATTAGATGAAGCAACAAGGTACGGGATTTAATATGAATCTACGCGATGTACAATCGTTTAATTGGAATTTTTTGCGAGAAAACGTTTGGTTYTGAATGTGATACTGCATAGGGTATTCCCAGACAGAAATGCTTAGTTGCTATTGAATTTGTTCATATAATTATCTATAAAATAGACTAGTGAAAATAACACATTCGTGGTATCTCTATATATTGGAGGTAAATAAAAGTTATTTCGAAACATAATTTGCTTTCATAGGTAATTATATGATAAACAGAATATTACATGTTCGCTTGGAGATACGAATTTATCTCCTCGCGTTGTAAATCTCTCACTCCTTCGCTACGCTCATTTTGTGAGAGATCTTTTCAACGCTCGAAGATAAAATCCGCATCTCCGCGCACCCACGTAATATCCTCTATATATTTTATTCCATGTTTTAGTGCTCTTGATGCAGAGTCTGAGAGACTTGTTCAGCAAGCATTAGACCGACTAACTGAAGGTAAGGTGTACGAGTACATGACTACAGGAATGGCCGGCTTAGGCCCCGTCCACACGAGTCTTGCAGGGCTGGGTTGGTCAAAGCCCGATTAGCGTGAATCCAGGTATTAACTCCATATGTTTTCTAAGAGTTAACCGAGAAATATTGCAATCTGGGTTTGAACAACCCGGCCTTCAGCTGGTGTAGTTGGACGAAGACGTCCACATTTATCCATACGTATCCGGACATCTCAATGGAGTAGTCAAAAGAGCATGCCCTTCACACAGAAAGCTGAGCCTGCGATGATTTTCATTTGTTTTCAGTGCTATGTCATCGCATAGCAAAAATTATGGATACCATCGTCCACACGGCAACCTGCTTACACCGTTGTAAGCGGTCAGATTTTCATGTTCAGGCAAACTAAATCCGCCATACTGGATGGTAAAAGAATGTAAAAAACCTCAAAAAAAAAAAAAAAAAAAAAAAAACACAGTCAGTCAATCTAATTGACTTTTCTAGTTTTTTTCCCAGTAGTGGAAATTTTGTTATCCTCTAGCATGGCGGATTTAGTAACTAACTTTCTAACTTTCGTGCAAGAGGGCTATTAAATTTGCATACTTTTCTGGCGGTTAAAATGTGCATCCGGTTAAAACGGCCAATTTCASATATCACTTGGGTGGCCGGAATARCAAGATTCCACTTCAAMTTGTAGATGGYATCGGATTGACTTAGCTTTGTTCTTTCCTAGGTCGTACTGTTATTGTAATTGCTCACCGTCTTAGTACCATACAAGGAGCAGGTAACGAACGATAGAGGCCCTGCTATATAGATCCCTTGCATTTGACGTCAAAGCAGATTCATTTAGATGACAAARCAAACGTTTTTGCTCTTATGAACTAGAATTTATTGTTTTGTCCTCTAGTTTGAGTTGCATTCCCACGAAGTGCAAGGGGTCTACACACTCTACAATTGCTTGAATTGATCGTCTTTAACCATTCCCATGAGATTCAAAAGATAAAAGACCGGCGGCTATGTTGGAGGAATGAACAATAGATACTAATGAGAAATCCTTTGTTGAAGTTCCTCCAAGATGGCCGCTGTGACGTATTCTTGGTGTGCAACCACATGACCAGGAATCCCCTGAGAAATAAAGAACAAAGCTATCGCCGCCATKTTGGATGARTGAACAAGAGAAACTAATGAGGAATGCTTTGTGATTTTCATCCAACATGGCGGTGATGACATAACTTGCACACCAAGAATAGTGAAAACGAAGAATAGGCAATGATCAGCGACGGCATTTTGTACCACAAAGCATGATGGGAGGTTTAATCGTCACACTTTTAATATAGAAAAAAAAAATTCGCCTCTGCTTATGTTCAATGTGAACCACTCTTTGGACAAGAGTGCAAGTAACATCACAGTATAACTGAAATATCGCATCTTTCTGTTTCTAGATAAGATTGTTGTTCTTTCCCATGGAAAAATACAAGAGGTAAACTTTGCATTTATATTGTATAAAACGGCCGACTGGTCGACGACGTTTGTCGGTGCTCCATCGACTGAAATCAGCCTTGTTCGCTCAAATAACAAATGACTTCGGTCTTTGTCGGTTCTTCGTCGGCACTCGTCGAATGAGATCAGGCTTGGTCGCTCTACTGTCGACAAATAACAAATGATTTCGGTCTTTGTCGGCTCTTCGTCGGCACCCATCGACTGAAATCAGTCTTGGTCGCTCTACTGTCGACAAACAACAAATGACTTCGTTTTTGATCGGTTTTTGGTTGGAACCCATCCACTGAAATCAGTCTTGGTCGCTCTACCGTCGACAAACAGAAAATGACTTCTACTTTCCGTTTTAGTGGTGTCCACAGGTTCAATCAATAATTCATCGATTAACTTCGGGTTTTTGTCGTGTTTAGGTCGGTAATTCATCGATTAACTTCGGGTTTTTGTCGTTTTAGGTCGGTACACACCAACAGCTAATGAAGCAAAAAGGACTGTATGCCGAGCTTGTGAGAAGACAGATGCAAGATGATGACGATGATGACGATGACTGATGATGTAAGCCTCTCATTGAAATTGGTTTACCTTTATTTTTTACGACAAAGGAACTCCAAACTATGACATTTTCTCAACCTCGTTCCCTGATCCTTTTTCCGAGAAAAAATAAGCCCTGGGAACAAGTTTGACATTTTCTACCTCTTCGTAGGTATTTTTTAATGGGGAGAATCTACGTAGCACTCAGTTGATGTAATATATTTAAAAGATTTTAATGAAAAACCTTGTCTGAGTTGATTGTGTGAAATATGTTTTGATGGTCTTTTCCGATAATGTGCCAAATTTTAATTTCTTTGAAATGTCTTCTGAAAAGACTGGGTATTGAGCTAACAACAACGGTCGAACCCTAACCACCATTTGCTTACTTAGAACTTCAACAAACTGCTTTTGACACTCCTCACTCAAAACCGGGGGGGAGGGGTACTCCCATATATTTGCTATACGGGGACGTGCCGCTGGCCAGGGTATGGTTTTTGGCCTTGCTGTCTTAATTAGGGTATGCATTTCACCCGAAATTGTCTTAAACAGGCTCTACAATTTAGATAAAAGACCGAGACAATTTTTTTGTGTGTCTTGGACAGGGTAATATTTTCGTAAGAAATACCGTAGAAATAGTAGAAATAATAGTAGAAAAAACGAAGGCATTTATCTCGAAAATCATGTAAAACCATTGTGAAACCCAATATAAATGATGTCAAAACCTTAAACGATCCTGTTGTTACACCGTATTATTACCTTTTTAAGGCATATATCTCGAAAATTATATGGGGTTTCGCTTTCCGGATCCGAAAAAGGAAGACCCCCATCAAAACCGTCGGAAATAATGTCAAAGCCTTAAAGATCATGGTTTAAGAAGGMCTTCGCATTTAAATTAAGGCAGTTATGTAGAAAATATTCGTAGGTCTTCGTTTTTTAGGGTCTTAGGTCTTCGTTTTCCTTAGACCCCTGCAAATATTCACCAATGAACTTCCAGGTTTCTGTTGAACAAAGTATTGATTAATTCGCCTGTTGATTGATTGATWGACTGGTTTATTCGTATAAGTAGAGTTTTAGAAAAACATTTAACAATTATCGCAGGATTTGACTCGTTTATTGATTGTTTAATTGATTGAATAAGTGATTGATAGAATGATKGATTGATTAGTTGATTGACTGACCCATTGATTGACTTATTGGTGAAACTCTGCTCTTATAAATTGAAAAATCGATATATGTATAGTATTGATGTTTTTAAACATTAAAATGCATTAAAATGCATGTCACCTCCAAAATAAAATAAATACAAATTATCCCCTTAAGATCCAAAAAATCGTTATGAACGAGTGTCCGCTCTCTCGCAAGTAAACATCTCAGGGATCAACCATTAGAAAAGTGAGGGGAAGATTATTCTTTTTTTCTCGTCTCTCACATGGATTATGCACGCTTTTTATGTAGTTTTTCGAAATTTTGCTTTCATGGGTAGATTTAAAGCATGCTTTGGAGCTTGGATTTTCTAGCCTACCCACATCCCCCATACATTGTACATTCCTGAACCCGTTCACATTTCAAATGGTTCTTCYCCTAAGAACAATAACCCGATCTCCATTGTACGTAACCGCTGCAACACTGATAGAACCGTGGGTCATACGCTGTTGGTCCGCAGCAATAATAATCTTGACCTTCACCAGGTTTCCATGTTACTTTTCCTTCACAACACATATAGTATTCCGGGTTATAGGAGCGTTTTCCGCAGCACCTCTCGTGGCGTGAATTCCGTGGGTATAGTATCTCGTTACAGCAGATGTAGCTCTGGGAAAGAATAAACACGTACGTTTGAGTTTCGTCTACGTTTCGTGAACAAAAAGATAAATTTAACACCGTAAAAAAATAGGTGAAACAACTTACTGACGTTTCGGATGTTAATCGTTCGTCGGAGTAAACTAAGTTGTTTCACCTACTTTTTTACGGTGTTAAATTTATCTTTTTACACAACTGTTTCTTTGGAAACACCGACGCAGCTCACACTAGTTTCCACCGCCACGTTTGAACGTAGCGATTGAACATACCCCCGATTTAAAGGGGACGACGACTATCAAMCCGTTCTTCAAGGAGATCCCCCTCCCCCATTGTCGCTGTACAAGTTTGAAAATGATGTTGCTTTAGTTACTTCCAGRCTCGTACCCAGTCACTTCTCTCACTTTTTGGGCGACTGGGTACGAGCCTGTGCTAATTAGTATGGTCAACGAGTTTGAACACGTTCCAAACAATAGTTACGTACTTAGCGGCGAGCGCTTAAACCTCGTAAAAATAAGAAAGAATGTATTGTGAATGTCTGGAGCTCTTAAGCAAGGTCCCTCAAACTGTACAATCTCTCTTATTTTCGCAAAATTGAATTGAAAAAAAAAATGAATTTTTCTTATGGCGAGTTTTAGTGTTCGATTAGTGGAGCATTCTCATACTCGTTTCCAGACCCTTTTGAATTTCGGAAAGACCAATTACAACTTACATCTCCGTCAAATACTCGTTTACCACAGCACCAGCCWGTTCCTCGTCTCCAAGAAACTTTACCTTGACAACAAGTGAAATGCCTGAAACAAATAGTGCCATTAGCCAATGAGAAKGAGTGTACCATATGAATCAATCAAATCGAGTGTACTATTCAAGATACTAATATAAATCAGGGGTAAATTATGGCAGTGTTCACGCTTGGTGACCAAGTCCAGTCCACGTACTGACTCGCGCCTTTCGATCCCTTGATCCATTGCGCGCCGCCCAAAAAATCAGAGGAGCGACTGGGCACGAGTCTAGACCTAGTCCAGGGCATAAGTGTGAACATTACATTTTTGCTGATCTCTAGGCGAAGTACAATACGTAGGAATTACCGAGACAATAAGCCATATATATCATTATTTCAGGTAAATATGGGATATAAAACCCAATAACACAGCGGTCATCTTGGAGGAACTTCAACAAAGGATTTCTCATTAGTATGTATTGTTCATTCATCCAACATGGCCGCCGGTCTTTTATCTTTTAAATCTCATGAGAATTGTTAAAAACGCTCAATAGCAATGAAAACGATTCGATGATAAAAATAGGTATTTCATAGATAATTATATGATAAACAACGATTATTATTTTAGCAAGGGCAAGAGAGTTTCCAGCATGCTTTGTCGCTGGTTCTACCTCGGGTCGTAGGGTGTCCCGTTACAGCAGCCATTAGCATTGTTATGCGATCGTCTAATCAATCTCCCGCCACAGCAGTCATAAATCATTGGGTTGTATGGCTTTCTACCGCAGCATCGTGATTGAGATCGTAGATTCCACTGCACAACTCCGCCACAGCATATGCTTGTTATGGGGTTATAGGCACTGAAACAAAAGACGATCAGTCTATCCGTTAAGCGCCGTTTACACGAGCAATTTTTCCTTGACAAGTTTTCCTTGACAAGGAAAAATTGCTCGTGTAAATGGGTAAAAGTGACAATTTTTCCTTGTCAAGGAAAAGTCAACATGTTCGCTTTTCCTTGACAAGAAAAAATTGTCAAGGACGACATTTGCTCGTGTAAATGGACAACAAGGAAAATGTGGCAAGGAAAAATTTTCATGAAAAACTTGTTGACCATTCACACGGGCAATTTTTCCTTGTCAAGGAAAACTTGTTCTTCGTTTACACGAGCAAAGAAACATTGTCAAGGAGGAATTGTCAAGGAAAACTTGTTGACCATTCACACGGGCAATTTTTCCTTGTCAAGGAAAACTTGTTCTTCGTTTACACGAGCAAAGAAACATTGTCAAGGAGGAATTGTCAAGGAAAACTTGTTGACCATTTAAACGAACAATTTTTCCTTGTCAAGAAACTTGTCAATGAAAAATTGCTCGTGAAAACGGCGCTTTACGGTCGACAAATCAATTGGTTAATCAATTAATCCGGCAATCAATCGAATCGTTCAATCTATCAATCAAATGATCAGTCAATCATTCAAGCGATTAATCAATCAATCTATCTATCGATCAATCGATCAATCTACTAGTCAGTCAATCAAAGAAAAACAATTTCAAAAAACGTTGTCGTCGCTAGTTCCCACCGTATTTTGAAATAGTTGTGTTTGGATATACAGTAAACTCTCTTTGAACGACCACTCTAGTAAGCGACCATCTCCCGTAAGCGACCACCTTTTAAATTTCCCGTTTTGTTCAGTTTCCCATATAAACACTTTAAAAAAACTTTCTCGTAAGCGACTATCTCTTGTAAGCGACCACTTTTTCCTGATCCCGAGGTGGTCGCTTACGAGAGAGTTGACTGTAATGGTGCACTGACATCGTTACCTTTTACCACAACACCTGGAGTGCTCGAAAGTCAACGTGTATCGAGTCCCAGCACAGCAAAGCACATTGGAATTGTACTCGTCCTCCGCATCACATTCTTCTGATCTTCGCACTCTTTGTGTAACTTCTGTCAACAAATAAAAGATGGGCTTCCTTTGTAACGCTTTTCTCGTTCCCATTCTCCTCATTATGTACACAGGAGGCCCAMAAAGTATCATGGCGGATTTGTAGTCCTCGCACTTTTTATAGCCTTAAAACTCTTCATAAAAAACTCGCTGATTTATGTCTGTTTCACCATTRCTAATATGTTTTTATTATTTTCAATTTCACTACGGTTTTGAAACATGAGTATTTTTTTAAAATAGAGTGTTTGAATTTCATCGTCCYCATAATCATCAAACGGCTAATGTCATGGACTTCCGCTGGATGGCAAAAGTGCGGGCTCTGGGTACGAGATTGAGAATCATCGCGCAACTTATCATCCTTATTAGGCTTCCATTGTAGCGGTGACCGAGGAGGCTACGCGTAAATAATGCGACAATTAAAAAAAGTGCTCAAGGGGCGTACAGTGGTACGTGATGCCATAAATAACAAATTAGCGCAAAGGTTAAGAATGGATTATGTACGTACATGACCAAATTGAAACCGTCTGGACACCGAACAAGGAATCATTCATGATTGCCGTTATGTCTATCCCCAGGGGGAGAGGGGTAGGGGGATACGTCCTCCAAAAATATATACAGGCGATGTTGAAATGGAAAACTTATGGTCTTTGGGGAGCTCTAAAAAATATTAACGATGAATATCCCATAGTTTGATCATAATTTCATTATATTGCTTTATTATAGCCGATCTATTGGTCAACTTCCAGCTCATAAGTCAATTTTTAATTGCGATACAAATGTTTGGTTAATATTCTCGAGTTCCCTTCAACTTTTTGGCCTTCACATGCTGGGTTTAACACATTTACCAAAATAAACTGTAAAAAAAAAATCCAGAAAATTCCAACACATAGTCACGTACCAAAAGTATACATTACTGATATCTAAAAAAAGTCCTGAATCCAATTAGCCCTCGAAAACTGAAATAGTTCAGAACAAAAATGTTTGAGAAATTCCCTCCGGGTTTTTCCAGTGATTGCCCCCTAATGGTAAATTAATTCGTTGACTCGTTCGAGTATTGTAACAGCTAGATTTTATCAAAACATTTTAATTTTGCCTTGGACACTTTTGGTGTTTTCTTAGAATTGAGGTCTATGAATRCCTTAGACTACTATTTTGTAATCTGGGTATTAATTTCGAGTGCGTGTTCGCTGGCTTTAAATGGTTTAGTATAATGTTACGATGCTCTTAGCCCAATATTTTGGTGATTTACATGGAGGTGAAAGTCCATGATATCGAATTTACTTCACCGTGTACAAATAAAGACACATTCTTGGTATCTAAAATCTATTATTRCAGATAAATAATTAAAAGATCTACTAGATTGACAACAATTTGTCAAAAAATCTGCTAAAATAATGATTTTCAAGAGTAGGGTCACTCGCGAAAGGAAATAGKAAAATTAGAGTGGCAATTGATTGAGGTATATAGACCAAAACACAAACATTCTGCTTCCTTATATGTAAATATRATACGTAGCTTAATAAATTATTTGTATTAGCATCAAAATTAAGGAGAAACAAGGGAGAATACAAAAGATTTTATAGCTATACATGTGCAACAAATATATTAGAGAGCTGAATTTTGTGTTTTGGCTACATAGATATACAAAATTTATTCTTTGGATATATATTCTTGCTATTTCGTGCTTTTGAATTCTCTACAAAATAAGCTCTCACCTTTAATATTAATCTCTCTTGATTGAACCGAGTTTGTATTGAAGTTTATCAGCAGTACAGCTCCCAAAACGCTCATCAGAAAGACAGATACGGACGCCATTTTGAAGCACTTCTTCAAACGCACTATGGATAAGAAAGGATAGCGGAATATAGCATAAGTTATAGTTAAAGATAGCTATAGAGCAATCGCGATGTGAAGTGACCTTCACTAGGATGCGAAGGATTGCGCGAACGAAGAATATCTTTCTTTTAGTGTCARAGGTCAACAATATTCCCTGACGAATTTTGGAAGGGATTCTTGAGCAAGCTCTAAGCTGTGGAATTGATTAGGGTATGATATTGGTCGATAGATGAACAGAATACGTTTATTTCAAGCTACGGGCGGCTGTTGCAACAGTTTTATTAACGTTTACATTGATAACAGTTTATATTTAAATTGATAYTTTGTATCAAACGAAGCCTGGGATTGCAATTACCGATGATGGGGTCAATCAACGGTCATTTCATTACATTGAACACGTTTCGCCCCTCGTGTATGTTCGAACATCAAGCGTAGCTGTTGAAATGTTCATTGATAAAATTTCATCGTGATTGTCTTGATTGACCAGGACGTAAGCATCCTCGGAACCCCAGGTGAGACTCAGTGCTAACTATCGGTCATTTTAAATGCCGCGATTTGTAAAGAAAAACAAACAAACGCGAAAGTAATAAAGATCCGCAATAAAACCCTGAAAATTTATGAGTGTCAAATTTGCCAGTTTCGAATTCGCGAAATTAAGTACCAGCGAAAATTCGTACGAACAAGGTGGGGAAAGGGGCGCGCGGTCTTTTACTCGAGAAAAGTATACAGGTTGATGTTGTCCCAGCGTGCTTTTGTTTTCTATGTTGTTGCTGTTGTCGTTGCCTGTTGTTGATAATGATGATTATGCTGTTGTCGTTGTTGATGATGATGATGCTGTTGCTCAGGTTATACGATATTTGAGCGATAAACAACGCATTTTTGTGCGTTCCTGGTGAAATAAAACGAAAGATAATCCGAATAATCTCATTTTGACTGATATTTAATCGAAAATGGATGGACAAGATTGAATCAAAACGCTATATTTCGATTTAATTTCTAAATCATCATCAGTCGAAAACTGAATAATAGAGCTGAGTAATGTACACTATAAGGAGTTATTTGAATAAATACAGTTGGTGAAATAAACTACGCGGAATGTTGGGAGAACTCCGGCTTTAGATTTTTTTACGCCTTTTTCGTGTTCTCCCAGCATCCCGTGTGGTTTATTTCACCAGGAACGCACGAAAATGTGTTGTTCATTGCTTAAGTTTTATAGCATTTTCGCATCCGTGCTCTTACCGGTGAAATATGCAATAACATTTATATAATATACAATAAGCTTTTTAAACACAAAAAATGTGATTTTTGAGGTCTAGACGTTCTTGTATAAGCTTCTTACCAATTAATCTGTTGATTTTGAGAAGTCGTTTTAGGAGATATCGTGTCAATATGGCTCATAGATACAGCATTCTATTACGATGATTATAGAGCACTGCACCGGCATCGCAGAGGTCATGGGTTCGATTCCCGTTGAATCCCAATTTATTTTCCGGCGATCTATCGATAATCACCGTAATGACATAGGGCCTGATAGGAGAAAAATGAACCCAAGTAGAGGGACCCCCAGGATCTACAGGCAGCGATATACAAGTCGCGGTACCGCTGTAGACTGGAACTTTTCTGGTTAAAATTTTTGAATATCTCTAAAACAAAAAATTACACTTGAACAGAAAATAATTATGTTGCACCTATCTGCAATATTTGCGGTATGGCTACTCTTCGGATCATTTCAAGCAATTAACGGTCAAATAATGGTCAAATAAATAAAAGAGTGCAATAGTTTGTTATATGAATTTTCAAGATTTTATAATTAAAGAATATTTCATAACTACATCAGTATTGAATTAAAAAGTAGTACCTTAAATTAAAACCTCGATTAATGAGTTTTCAAAAACCTTAAACAAATATATAGAAGTGCAATGACATAAAAGCAATATATTTTTACTTATGGTCGTTCACATGTTGATTCAGGTCAACATAGCAATTTCTAATATGTAATTTTCAACCGTTTCATCACTTTATCAAATATTAAAGATKTGACTTTAAAAGGCCAAAAATCAAATAGATATAACTAAAGAAGAGAAAAAAGTATTAAATCAAAAATTTCATCAAAAATTTCAAAAAGCTGTATTTTTTTAAGAAGATTATGACGGATTCGAAGTGACCAATCCCGCGGCGGATCTAACTTTATTCTAACTTTATTCACAAAAGCTTTTCTTCTAAGCGGACTTATTCAACGTGATTACGATTTGTTTCTTATTGTCATTGTAATGCTCAAGATCTCAGACAAGCAAAGTCTAAAGTTAACCTTCAAACATCTTTTTGAAACATCACTTTTGATTCGCTCTCGACAATGCAAGTCTGGCTACTTATCTTCAATCGATTGAAGTACCTAAATAATTTGAAGACCGTATTTTTATACTATTGCATTATGCATCCCTTTCATTATTTTTTCTTTGTAATAAACCACTTTAGAGAATCTGAATTCGACTGTTGCAACTATACAAGCTTCAAAAGCAATACAATATTAAATTTTATTTTCGCGAATGATTAATAGAAGGGAAAAAAGAGATACATTTAACCTATGAAAACTAAGGTTCTACTGTAAAATTCGTATCAATKCGGRATTATGTAAAAGCCACGTAAAAAAAACTTWAAAAAAARCTACAACCAGCTATTTGTTGATGGCTTTACTAATCTTCAAATGATTGATGTACAGTCGCTTACGAGAGATGGTCGCTTACG